CCCCTGGCTCCCGGCATTTTAGTCGCCTCTTACGACACGCATGGCTTACAGAGGAAGAATTCTGTTCCACTTCCCCATGGAGATAAGAGGAAATAAACAAGAACAAGAATTAGAAAGAAAATAGAAGAAAACCCAGAGGGGTGTGTATATATATGCTTGTACATGTATGTGTAGTGTGACCTAAGTGTAAGTAGAAGTAGCAAGACGTACCTGAAGTCTTGCATGTTTTTGAGACAAAAAAAAAAAGGACACCAGCAATCCTACCACCATGTAAACAATTACAGGCTTTCGTTTTACACTCACTTGGCAGGACAGTAGTACCTCCCTGAGCGGATGCTGTCTACCAACCTACTACCTAGATAAAATGTAAATATTTCTTATATATAAATTACATACATTGTGTGTGTTGGTGGGTTCTGCTGGTGCCTCCACCACCACCACCACCATGTACGGCTACTCTCAGTGGCCCTTATAAATCCAACACATCATCATTTTACTCCTCTCATACATTATGACACATTTTATTCATTCTAGAGTATAACATGTTTCTATGTTATTAATATTGTTTATTATGTCATATTAGATGAATCGTGATAGATAAATAAGCCGTAGAGATATTAGTGTCATATTGAAGCATAATAAACTCGCCTTCCTCTTGCCTCCTACTTGTCTTCCATACACTAACACGAGTCAATAAAGGTAAGTGTGATGTTAAATGTTCATTTATCCATTTTATTAGTGCTTTATATTTGTCACTGTTTTCTGTATGTATATCTATATTTAATCTTTAAAAGAAATAGTTTTTGTTAATACTTTTGGGGGAAGATTAATTCGGCTAAAGGCAAAATCGGTTAAAGGCAAGCTCTCTGGAATGGATTAATGCCGTTACCCGAGGGTTCATTGTATACACGAATACAATTACATAAATTATCATACATAGCAGCATATGTAGATTACCTAGGATAACACAAAAAAGTCAAAGTGACTTATTTCCAGCATGGGTGGTGGGGAAGACAACATGGGTGCTTGGGAAGACAGTGTGGGTGGTGGGGAATGCAACATGGGTGGGTGGGGAAGGCAGTGCGCGTGGTGGGGAAGACAGCATGGGTAGTGGGAAAGACAGCATGGGTGGTGGGAAAGGCAGCATGGATGGTAGGGAAGGCAGCGTGAGTGGTGGGGAAGACAGGGTGGGTTTGTGTAAACAAGTTTTGTAAATAATATAACGATGATAATATCAGTGTTGCATACACCAAGTGGATATATATGCATTATGCATTATATTGGTTGCACAGGCCACAAAAGTTACTTGAAAAAATAAAATATTAGAAAAGTAAAAATAACATTACAGAATGAGTGGCAGTCGCCGATGCTGCCATAAGCAATTCAGTTTCTATCAACTTCACACCTCTATATCTCGGTAACTACAGATCGCAAAAAAATGCTTTTCCTTTTATATCACTCAGAAAATTAGTCTTCAAGATTTTGCTTAGGAAAATAATTTTTTTTTAATATTTTTTGACACTGAGAGCAAGTTTTCGAGCAGGGGTCTCGACAGTGAAAGGGTTAAATGTCGTATATTACGTTATTACAGTGGACCCTCGACCAACGATGGCATCGTATAACGTTAAATCCGACTAGCGATACATTTTAACGCAAAAATTTTGCCTCGACTAGCGCTAAAAAACTCGAACAACATGATTCGTTCCGTTCGAGACGTGTCCACTTGTGGCCTGAGTGTGCCTCACTTGTCCAGTGGGTGCCAGTGTTTACAAGCCAGCCAGCCACTGCGGTTCCATCCAAACATACAATCAGAACATTTCATATTATCACAGCGTTTTTAGTGATTGCACCTGCAAAATAAGTCACCATGGGCCCCAAGAAAGCTTCTAGTGCCAACCCTGTGGTAAAAAGGGTAAGAATTAGTATGGAAATTAAAAAAGATTTTGAAGGGTTTGGGGCTAACTCTGAGAAGCCTATGCCAGTTGTAGAATCCATTGTGCCTACTTCAAAGATTAAGGAAATGTGTGCAGTGGGTTGAACTGCAAACCTTATGGATGAAAATCACCCTAACACAGCTATTGCAAGCCGTGCTGGTGACTATTACAATAACCATGTTGTGGCCCATTTTAGACAAATCGTAAAGGAACGGGAGGTACAGAGCTTTATGGACAGATTTGTTGTGCGACAGAGGTCCAGTGACTCTCAAGCTGGTCCTAGTGGCATTAAAAGAAGAGAAGTAACCCCGGAAAAGGACTTGACACCTCAAGTCCTAATGGAAGGGGATTCCCCTTCTATGCACTAACACCATCCACACTCTCCCCTCCTCCCATCCCATCAATCATCACCAGATCTTCAATAAAGGTAAGTGTCATGTAATTGTACATGTCTTCTTCAGTTTGTGTGTATTAAAATTAATATTTCATGTGTGTAAAAATTTTTTTTTTCAATACTTTGGGGTGTCAGGAATGGATTAATTTGATTTCCATTATTTCTTATGGGGAAAATTAACTCGACTAACGATAATTTCGACTAACGATGAGCTCTCAGGAACGGATTAATATCGTTGGTCGAGGGTCCACTGTATAGACATTTTCATTAAACCATCTATGGTATTTTTTCAAAATTATACAAGAAACATGCTACATACCATATAAACATAATATATACAACCACAGCAGAACAAACTGACAAACATGAGATGTGGTAGCCAGGCAGCTTGTAGGAGTGACGGCAAGAATTACGTTTTCTCTAGTCCAACATCAGGGAAGCTGTGTACAGTATATTACTGGGAGGTAACTGTAGAAAAATATTTCTTTCATATGACTTCACTCAGAGCATCATTTGCTCTAACACTGGTGTGCTGCACGAGACTGGGAGTGCGCTGCTGTTATTTATTCTACTGCACCAATGTGAAGACAACTTGTACACAATGTAGGGTGTTTGTATTGTGGGTTAAAAGCTTCACAAACGCATGCAAAATGAACTGGTATGAACCGTAAGTGGACAGGTGTTAATATGCATTCATCTGTTTACAGTCTCCATGTCTCTTGTTTACAATGGCATTTAAGGGTGGTTGTTAAAAGTGATTAAACTCTCAGTGAACAAGGTATGTTGATGGTAATAATAATTGTCACTCTGGGGTGCTTCAAATGTTGTACATTTTGTGTAGGTGTAGTAGCCAGGCAAGCTACCACACCTGACTTCCTACAATAAATACTATTTGCCTCTCACCCTACATTAAGACTACAGACATTTTAAGGTAAGTAATGAATGTACTGTATATGCATTTGTACTGTACATGCATTTGTTTCTTTTTTGCTAACTTAATATATGATAGTGTAAACATGTTATCAGGCATTTATATACATTTGAAAATGAAAAAAAGTGTGATTTGCTTTACAGTGGTAGCCTGGAACCTAACCAGCCATATAAGCAGTGCCCTACCATATATGATATAGGGCATAATGACAACAGTTCACTAGATTATGTATTAATGGATGAAAGGTTAATGGATAGACTTCTGGATGTGCAAGTTTATAGAAGGGCAGTAGCTATATCTGATCATTAGGGGATAGGACAATACCAAAATTTTTGGTGACACCGATAATGATACTTTTCCTAGTTCTTTATTTTTGAAATTATAACCACTACATTCAATATACAAGGAAATGCTCATTGCACAATGAGTATTAAATAACACAAGAAAAGAGTAAGGTGATGAGGGTGTCAAATGATAAATTTAGATAAAGAAAAATTGGATATCAAATTGGGGAGGAGGAGTATGGAAGAAGTGAATGTTTTCAGATACTTGGGAGTTGACATGTCAGCGGATGGATTTATGAAGGATGAGGTTAATCATAGAATTGATGAGGGAAAAAAGGTGAGTGGTGCGTTGAGGTATATGTGGAGTCAAAAAACGTTATCTATGGAGGCAAAGAAGGGAATGTATGAAAGTATAGTAGTACCAACACTTTTATATGGGTGTGAAGCTTGGGTGGTAAATGCAGCAGCGAGGAGACGGTTAGAGGCAGTGGAGATGTCCTGTTTAAGGGCAATGTGTGGTGTAAATATTATGCAGAAAATTCGGAGTGTGGAAATTAGGAGAAGGTGTGGAGTTAATAAAAGTATTAGTCAGAGGGCAGAAGAGGGGTTGTTGAGGTGGTTTGGTCATTTAGAGAGAATGAATCAAAGTAGAATGACATGGAAAGCATATAAATCTATAGGGGAAGGAAGGCGGGGTAGGGGTCGTCCTCGAAAGGGTTGGAGAGAGGGGGTAAAGGAGGTTTTGTGGGCGAGGGGCTTGGACTTCCAGCAAGCGTGCGTGAGCGTGTTAGATAGGAGTGAATGGAGACGAATGGTACTTGGGACCTGACGATCTGTTGGAGTGTGAGCAGGGTAATATTTAGTGAAGGGATTCAGGGAAACCGGTTATTTTCATATAGTCGGACTTGAGTCCTGGAAATGGGAAGTACAATGCCTGCACTTTAAAGGAGGGGTTTGGGATATTGGCAGTTTGGAGGGATATGTTGTGTATCTTTATATGTGTATGCTTCTAGACTGTTGTATTCTGAGCACCTCTGCAAAAACAGTGATAATGTGCGAGTGTGGTGAAAGTGTTGAATGATGATGAAAGTATTTTCTTTTTGGGGATTTTCTTTCTTTTTTGGGTCACCCTGCCTCGGTGGGAGACGGCCGACTTGTTGAGAGAAAAAAAAAAAAAAAAAAAAAAAAAAAAAAAAGAAGGTTAAACATTCAGTGACTTAATTTCTCTGAGATGACAATGCCATTACTCATTACTTGGCCTATGGTGTCAGTTACTGGATGTCAAAGGCACTTGCCAATAGTGTGCATGCATTTGTGTATGTATTACAAAAAAATAACTGACTTAATACTGAAAATAGGACAACAAGAGCATAGCTCTGCTCCCATGATTACAAATAAGCAAATAGATATTCACTTGCACAATTTGTATACACATTTAATAAATAAATACCAATTACCATTTTTTGCTTTAATCTTGTATCCTCCTCCACCCTTAATTTGTATCTTGCGCTCTACAATAATTGTGTCACCATACAGTTCATGCTTGAATGCCTCTTTCCCAGTGTTTTTTAGAGCAATCTCAATTGTTGCCGTCTGCTTTCCATATTTCACAAGACCTGAAGAAATAAGTCATATAATCATTAGTGAAAAATCTGATGAATTCTCACACCTCAGGCCAGAAAAAAAAAAATAAGCAAATATAAATATTTATTGCTGGTTTTCATTACAAGGAATCATGTGCTCCTTATCTTTTAGATAAGCTTTTCTCTGAACACTTTTAAATTTGTTCATCTTCCCTCTCACACTACCTGCTATTTCTCCTCGATTCCACATCATTCATGCATAATCTTCACTACCCTTACACTCATTACCAGATATAAGAATAAGGGGGCTTGGTTGGAAAACAAACATACAATCACAGAATTATTACAAAGTATTTCTTTGATGTAATAGTAAATAAGAAGGATGAATTAAACAATGATATAGTGAGGTGAACTCTATACAGGAATTCAGAAATAGATATGATAAGGCTCAAATCATGTCAGCTGATTGAAAGTTAGGAGGCAAGACCAAGAACTTGAGTTCATTTGCTGCAAACTTAACCCTTTGACTGTCGCAACCCCAAATCCTGAGGCGTAACCTGGTATGGAAATTTTTTGGGGGGGAATGACGGAGAATCTTTTCCTGATGGTAATGATACCAAAAGTACGAAATTTGATGGAAAATTTCCAGAATTACGCTCTTGCGAAGTTAGCGACCTCGGTGATATTTACAAATTGGCAATCTTGCCTACTTTGAGCCCTATTTTCGGCTAATTCCTTTGTTCCAGTTGACCAAACTCATAGCTATTTCTTTAGAACTCCATTTGTTCTATCGATTGAGTACAAGAAACTGCCCATTTACCAATTTCAATACCCAATATGTGGTTAGAAATTTGCAATTTCACCAATTTCACGCAAATTAAACCTTTCAGGGTTGGTGCCATATTAGTACGGCTTGCATGCCAGGGTTGGTGCCGTACTAGTACACATAAATTCGAGCGCCTTCAAATCTAGCAAGAGAAAGTTGGTAGGCCTACACATGAAAGAATGGGTCTATGCGGTCAATGTGCACAGTATAAAAAAAATCCTGCGGCACACAGTGCATAATGAGAAAAAACAAATTCCAACCGTGTTTTTGCTTAAAACAGCGACTTTGCAGTGTGTTTTCGTATGGTATTTATGGTTGTATTCTAGTTTCCCTGGTCTCATTTTATAGAATGGAAGACATATTACAGAAATTGAGATGATTTTGACTGGTTTCACAATGAAAAGTACTGTACCTTGAAATTGAGCTCTAAGTAGCAGAAATGTTCGATTTTTGCCAAAGTTCAAAAGTAAACAAATCATGCCACGTGTCCAATACACGTCAACTGGTGAGTAATATTCTTTCACAAGTGCACTGATATTATTTACACCATTTCTACACTAATGCAGTAGTCTGCATAACAGTAAATCTTCTATTATTTGTGAGAATAAAAATTCAAAGTGGAAAGCCAAAGAAATATAAGAGATCCCTGGGGACGTGACTAATGAACAGACAAAATGTTATTTTAGTGCCAAGTGTGCCTGTCTTGTTTATTCTGGACCCTATTTGAAAATTGGCATCTTTCGAAATTTGTGTGAACTTGGCAAAATTGCCAATTTTTCACCACTTTATTGGATAGTTGAGATCAGTAAATGGGTGGCTTCTTGTACTCATTCAATAGAAAAACTGGAGTTGTAGCAAAATAGTCATGATTTTTGTCGACTGGTACATTGGAATTGGCCGAAAATAGGGATCAAAGTGGGCGAAATCGTTGATGCATAAACATTGTCGAAACTGCTAACTTCGCAAGAGCATAATTCCGTAAGTTTTCCATCAAATTTCACACTTTTGGGTCATTATGATTGGGAAACTATTCTCTATCATTTCATAAGAAAAATTTCTTTTTTTTCGAAAAATTTCCGACCCACAAAACAAGTTTAGGAGAGGGCCTGTCGATCCTGAAAGGGTTAAAAAATATGCCACTTTCAAAATAGGGTCCAGAAGGAACAATGCAGACATTCCTGGCTCTATAATAACATTTTCTTTGTTTATCAGTCATGTCTCCAGGCCCCTCTTGATATTAGTCTTGCTTTCTATTTTGAATTTTTATTCAAACAAAAAATAGAAGATTTACTGTTATGCAGACTACTCCAATATTGTAATAATTGTATAAATAATGTCAACTCATTCATGACTGCATATTAGAATGGCTAGTTGGACATTTATTGGACAATGACATCATTTGTTTACTTTTGAACATTGGCAAAAATCAAACATTTCTGCATTTCAAGGCTCTTTTCACAGTAAAACCAAACAAAATCACCTCTATTTCTATAACATATTTTCCATTCTATCAAATGAGACCAAGAAAATGAGAATACAACCATAAATATTATACGAAAATACACCACAAAGTTGGTGTTTTAATGCAAAAACATGGTCAGAATTTTTTGTTTTTTCTCATTATGCAATGCGTGCTGCAGGATTTTTTTTTTATATGGTGCACACTGACCACACAGACCCATTCTCTCACATGTGGGCCTACCAGCTTTCTCCTGCTTGATTTGAAGCCGCTAGAATTTGAGTATATATACGTCAAACACACTGGCTTGTAAGATGTATATATACAACCAAAATAGTCAAAAGGTTAAAGATACTGTAATTTCAAATAGGTAATTACTCTTCCATAAACAGCATACAAATTAATCTACCTTTATTGACCTGTCATTTCAATTTAAATTAAATAATGCAGGATACCCCAGTACGACTCAAAATCATAAGAGTATTGCAAACAAATCAGAGAAAGGGTGAGGTTCAAACCCAAAGCAAGTTTGTCCAAATACTTGCAGGCCTGCGTGCTAACCACTGGTCCATGCCAGTCTAACAAGATTCATCCAACTACACGTTTCTACACACCGTAGGAATGTTAGAACGGGCCCCACCGAGACCACAAATCCAAGTTTTTACTGATGAATCCCACACCACCATGAGTGTGGCATGTTCTTGCTCAAGTCCCATGCTAGCATTCCAATGGTGTACAGAAATATACCTAATTGGGTGACTACTCTTGTTAAGCCAACCAGTGGTTAGCACACTGGCCTGTGAGAATTAAGACTCACCTGCCATGGGTGATTTGAAACCCAAGTATGCTTCATGACCTTAGATCAAAGAATTTTCGAACTTTGCTTTCCACATACAAGCTCACATCATCCCTTATTACATTATCCTGAACACAATATAGAGTACTTTTTCTATTGGTGCTCAAGCTCCTATAAATCGTGTATAAAATATGGGTAGAGAATTTTTTCTGAAGGTAATAAAACAAAAAGTATGAAATTTTTTGGAAAACACAAAATTACGCTTTTGCAAATTTTGCTGTGTCAGCAATATTTACACATCGGCGATTTTGCCCACTGAGTCCTATGTTAGGTAAATTACGTTGCTCCAGTCGACCTAATTCTTAGCAATTTCACAAGTATGTCTTCCATTTTATTGACTGAGCACAAGAAATCACACAATCAACTATTTCAACTACCCAATAGTGACCAGAAATTGATAATTTGGCCAATTTCACACAAATTTCAAAATATTCTAATTTCTACCCATACAGAGGAAACCATTTTTAAGCAATTAATCTTAAACAATTTCTCCTCCCCTTCCTACCTTTCACTTCCCCTCCTGCTCTCTCTCTCTATTCTTCTTTCCTTTCTCTCCCCTCTCTTTTTCTCTCTGCCTCACCCTCCTTCATCCTTTCTCTACCTCACCCTCCTTCATCCTTTCTCTACCTCACCCTCCTTCATCCTTTCTCTCTCTCTCTCTCTACACCTCACCCTCCTTCATCCTTTCTCTCTCTCTCTTCTCTCTCTACCTCACCCTCCTTCATCCTTTCTCTCTCTACCTCACCCTCCTTCATCCTCTCTCCTCTCTACCTCACCTTCTTTCATCCTTTCTCTTCTCTCTCTACCTCACCCTCCTTCATCCTTTCTCTCTCTCTACCTCACCCTCCTTCATCCTTTCTCTCTCTCTACCTCACCCTCCTTCATCCTCTCTCTCTTTCTCTCTCTCTGCCTCACCCTCCATCCTTTCTCTCTCTCCCTCTCTCTCTACCTCACCCTCCGTCATCCTTTCTCTCTCTACCTCACCCTCCTTCATCCTCTCTCATTTTTTTTTTTATACAGGGTTTGACAAGGTCAAGGATCCCTCGCTTTATTGACAAGCTATTTACAGGTTAAGGATTCCTAACTTTATTGACAAGCTAAGAGCTGTTACCTACACCAGCCCATTTGAAAGCATTTTTATTGTTATGAGACATACAAGTAGGGAACAGGATGAAGTTGGAGCCATCTGTGGGCCAGCATTTTCATTTGATCAACTGACTCTCGTTGACATTATGATGCTGAACGAATGTGTTCCATACTCGAGTCATCCTGGGTATATATGATCTCAGATGGAGTGATGTTCTGGAGAAGGGTACAGCCAGAGTGAAGTTGCTGATTTCTGCCCATCTTCTGGCATAAAAGCTTGTTTCACATTGTCCTTGAAGTGGATCCAAGTGTGGTACTTTGACAATATTGGCCTTGTACATAACAGTAAGGCCACCCACATCCCTCCTGTGTTGAAGGCTCTGCTGAAATGACAGATCTATCCAGGATTGGTCCAGGAGAGAAATGAGACATCTTGCTCTGTTCTCTACTCTGTCAAGCAGTCACAGATGAGAGGGGGGGGGCAGGCACACCAAGAAAGTGGAGCATACTTAAGGTGTGAGCGTACTTGTGCCTCATACATATTCTTGCAACCCCTGCTGTCAAGCAGATGCTAGATATGGCGAAGTGCTGTAAGCTTCCTGGCTGCCTTGTTTGCAAGATTTACATGGTTCTTCATGGTCAGTTTGGAGTCAAATTTCATCCCAAGGATATCAACTTCTTCCCCAGGTGCCAACACCTTCCCATTCATCCTTACTACTGCACTAGCATTACCATCATGGTGCCTAGAGACCATCATCATTTGCGTTTTCTCAGGTGTAAATGTTACTTGCCATCTATTTCCCCAAGATGATATAGCTCTTAGCTGGCGATTGATGTAGCTTAGAGCAGCTGGCATTTCTTCTCTTGGATAAGTGAATGTCAGTGTACAGTCGTCTGCATATGCATGGGATTCTGGGATGAGATGAAGAAGGTCGTTGAAGTAGACATTCCATAACAATGGTCCCAGCACGCTTCCTTGTGGAACACTTGCCCCAATAGGATGTCTTGCTGATTCTGTTCCATTGAGAACTACCCTTAGAGATGAAGGTAATCACTGAGGAGACATAGCCTGCAATTCCCAGTGCTTGAAGTTTTGCTAAGAGGTCCTGGTGCCACACCCCGGTCAAAAGCACTAGCAATGTCCAGTGCTACCACACAGCTGACTTTGGATTCATCCAGTGACTGGTGCCACTTAGTGGAGAGGTTTAACAACAGATCAGCAGCAGAGTAACCTTTCCTGAAACCATAATGACAGTCACAAAGTAGTGAGTGGTAGTCAAAAAACTCTGTCATTTGTTTTGAGATTATTGTCTCAAGGATCTTACCAGTGATTGACAGGAGTGACACTGGTCTGTAGTTTTGATTTCTGCTCAGCTCTTCTTTTTGTGAACAGTGACTACATTTGCCTCTGTCCACAGAGAAGGCCATCTCCATCTCTCTCTTTCTCTCTCTCCATCTCCCTCTCTCCATCTCCCTCTCTCCATCTCCCTCTCTCCATCTCCCTCTCTCCATCTCCCTCTCTCCATCTCCCTCTCTCTCTCTCACCTCCACAGAGCACTAAAAAAAATTTATTTTTATTATTATTATTCAACATTTTAGAAAATCTGGCCCACCTTCCCCACCATCAGTACCAGATAATGGATGAACCACTGTTCTATGTATTTCCTTCCACTCAGCCAAATTTTTACACTATGAACCTAACTTCCATGACCAAACCAAACCCTCAGCCTGTATTACAACCTTTAACCCCTAAACGGTCCAAACGTATGTACAGGACAGCCATCACTAATCCGGCATCGTTGGGACCTGTAGTGTGCCAGATTAGCGAGTTTGCCGGATTACAGAGTGGTTAAGTTAGAATACACTTAATTAACCTATCAATAGAAACTCTTTCTGCTACATCTTCCTCATTTTCATCACTGCTTTCTCCTCCACTGGCTTGCTGCTGTGGATTTGCAACCATCTGCACACTTTCTGAGTCAGTATAATGATGAAATTTGAGTCAATATATTGATTTGAGTCAGTATAATGATGAAATTTGAAATTATGCTTGCTGAAATTAGTGATGGAATAATGATGGAACCGGATAACTGATTGCAGGATTAGTGATGGCCGACCTGTATATGTTCTCTCCCCCAGTGCCCAGAAAATTTTGAAAAATAATTTTTTTTTTTTCACTGAAATAGAAAATTTTCCAAAGTATTTTTTTTTTATTAACACATCAGCCAATTCCCACCAAGGCAGGGTGGCCTGAAAAAGAAAAGCCTTCATCATCATTAACTCCATCACTGTCTTGCCAGAGGGGTGCTTTACACTACAGTTATAAAACAGCAACATTAACACCCCTCCTTCAGAGTGCAGACACTGTACTTCCCATCTCCAGGACTCAAGTCCAGCCTGCCGGTTTCCCTGAATCCCTTCATAAATGTTACTTTGCTCACACTCCAACAGCACGTCAAGTATTAAAAACCATTTGTCTCCATTCACTCCTATCAAATACGCTCATACATGCTTGCTGGAAGTCCAAGCCCCTCGCACACAAAACCTCCTTTACCCCCTCCTTCCAACCTTTCCTAGGCCGACCCCTACCCCGCCTTCCCTCCACTACAGATTTATACACTCTCAAAGTCATTCTGTTTTGCTTCATTCTCTCTACATGTTCAAACCACCTCAACAACCCCTCCCCAGCCCTGTGGATAATAGTTTTGGTAATCCCACACCTTCTAATTTCCGAACTATGAATTCTCTGCATTATATTCACACCACACATTGCCCTCAGACATGACATCTCCACTGCCTCCAGCCTTCTCCTCGTTGGAACATTTATCACCCATGCTTCACACCCATACAAGAGTGTTGGTACAACGATACTCTCATACATTCCCCTTTTTGCTTCCATGGACAAAGTTCTTTGTCTCCACAGACTCCTAAGTGCAACTCTCACCCTTTTCCCCTCATCAATTCTGTGATTCACCTCATCCTTCATAGACCCATCTGTTGGCACGTCCACTCCTAAATATCTGAATACATTCACCTCCTCCATACTCTCCCCCTCCAATCTGATATCCAGTCTTTCGTCACCTAATCTTTTTATCCTCATAACCATACTCTTTGCAATATACACTGTTAATTTTCTTCTTTTACATACCCTACCAAATTCATCCACCAACCTCTGCAACTTCTCTTCACAATCTCCCAAAAGCACTGTGTCATCAGCAAAGAGCAACTGTGACAACTCCCACTTTGTGTTTGATTCTTTATCTTTGAACTCCACACCTCTTGCCAAGACCCTAGCATTCACTTCTCTTACAACCCCATCTATAAATATATTGAACAACCATGGTGACATCACACATCCTTGTCTAAGGCCTACTTTTACTGCGAAATAATCTCCCTCTCTCCTACATACTCTAACCTGAGCCTCAATATCCTCGTAAAAACTCTTCACTGCTTTCAGTAACCTACCTCCTACACCATACACCTGCAACATCTGCCACAATGCCCCCTATCCACCCTGTCATATGCCTTCTCTAAATCCATAAATGCCACAAAAACCTCTTTACCCTTATCTAAATACTGTTCACCTATATGTTTCACTGTAAACACTTGGTCTACACACCCCCTATCTTTCCTAAAGCCTCCTTGTTCATCTGCTATCCTACTCTCTGTCTTACTCTTAATTCTTTCAATAATAACTACCATACACTTTACCAGATATACTCAACAGACTTATTCCCTTATAATTTTTGCACTCTCTTTTATCCCCTTTGCCTTTATACAAAGGAACTATGCATGCTCTCTGCCAATCCCTAGGTACCTTACCCTCTTCCATACATTTATTAAATAATAGCACCAACCACTCCAAAACTATATCCCCTCCTGCTTTTAACATTTCTATCAATCCCAGCTGCCTTAACCCCTTTCATTCTAACCACTGCCTCACGAACTTCCCCCACACACACAACTGGCTCTTCCTCACTCCTACAATATGTTAATCCTCCTTGCCCTATACACGAAATCACAGCTTCCCTATCTTCATCAACATTTAACAATTCCTCAAAATATTCACTCCATCTTCCCGATATCTTTAACTCTTCATTTAATAACTCTCCTCTCCTATTTTTAACTGTCAAATCCATTTGTTCCCTAGGCTTCCTCAACTTATTAATCTCACTCCAAAATTTTTTCTTATTTTCAACAAAATTTGTTGACAACATCTCACCCACTCTCTCATTTGCTCTCTTTTTACATTGCTTCACCACTCTCTTAACCTCTCTTTTTCTCTCCATATACTCTTCCCTCCGTGTATCACTTCTACTTTGTAAAATCCTCTCATATGCTAACTTTTTCTCCCTTACATCATCATTCCACCAATCGCTCTTCTTCCCTCCCGCACCCACTTTCCTGTAACCACAAACTTCTGCTGAACACTAACACTACATTCTTAAACATACCCCATACATCTTTGACCCCATTGCCTATACTCTCATTAGCCCATCTATCCTGACACTAATATTAGGTACTAAAATTGTACTCAAATTGTCACAAACACATTGACAGGTGGACATTTACACATGCCTTGGTCATTTACTATTGTCTAAGAATATATACAAAGTATTTATAGGTCCCAGCAATGTTTTGGATACACGGGAGTATAGGAGGAGGAAGAAGGAAGGAGGAGGAAGAACGAAGAAGTTCCTTGAAGCAATGCTAAGACAAGTGTCAGTGACAAGCATCCGGAAGGGCAGCGATGAGATAAGCAATGACATTTGATGGGCACCAGCGAGGGTGCAGAGATAAGATGAGTTAAGGGATGACGTTTGATGGGCACCAGCGAGGATACAGAGAAAAGGGGTGACATTTGATGAGCTGGTATCTCTGTCTCTGATTACTGTCTCTCTGTCTTGTCTCTCTGTCTGCTTGCCTCTCTCCATCTCTCTGCTTGTCTCTGTCTCAGAGAGAGCCACTGTGAACCAACAAGTATTCTTATGCATTATATCTACAAGCACAGTACAGCACTTCACATCTTTTAGGTTATCCTAGGTAATTTACACTATGTATAATTGTATTTGTGTACCTGTGAGACAGAGACAGACACAGATAGACAGAGACAGATAGACAGGCCCTAAACTTGGGGTTAACATCAATTTCCTCTTAAAAAGGGAGTGTTAATATGACACTACATCAGTGAATCCTTGGTGATTGCCGCACTGTTTGCTCTAGCTGGTGCTCAGTTTAACTGGCGTCCCCACAAGGTACTAAGTGGTCCAATATTTTTTTTTTAATATGGTGCACACCAAGTGTAAGGATCCACTCTATGCTGACCAGGCATCTCAGGCCAATCATGCCAAATTTGGAGGTAGGAAAAATAAAACGTATACAGTATACATGTTTGGGGTGCTAGCAGTAAGAATGTATATATATGTTTGGACTGTTTAGGGGTTAACAAGCGTGCTAAAAATATCACATGAAAAATGAAAAAGTGAAACATAAGAAAATTACATAACAAGCATGTCCTACCTTGAGTATTTTTTCCTCGATTCGTGTCACGAGCAGTGCCACCAAGACCAACTACAACTGCACTTGCAATTGCACTCTTGCCACTACCATTTCTTCC